GGTTCTAGAGAACAAAGGGGTCACTCGAAGTTTTTTTTAAAAAAAATTGTTTTTCCGTTTGTTTTTTCTCTCATTGGGATTAAATAATATTTTATTAATTTTTAAAAGGTTAAAACGTAAAGAGTGGTGACGGTAACGATGACACGTGGCGAGGAGATCAAAACAACGGCAATACTAGAAGTGGTAGATATCAGAATTCGTGGATGAGAGTAGGGCGATCAGATCCGATCAGTTTCATCGACGTCATTGGTCCACGTACGTGTAGGCTTCCAAGAACGCGACACCTGTCCCCGGCCACTAGGCGAGGAATTTTCTTTGATGGCGTTCACGTGGCTCAGCGTTACTTCGTGTCTTGATAATTTTAAATTTAATTTTTTTTTATTGTGGCGTCAAGAATTTTTAACTCCTTTTGTCTGCCGACCGTTCAGTTTTTTAATACTAAATTAATTCAAGGGAATTAATATTTATTGTGGGCGGGCTCTGCTGTGTTGAATATTTCGCGAGATTTTGCGGAGAAACTGCTGACGCGCGTGTTGCATACCTTCCAGTAAAAACAAGAAAATGCAAACGTTGTGGTGTTGAGAGGATAATGATTGAGTTTTATATAAGAATTCGTTTTTTTTTTAATTAACAGATATATTGATATGCTTTTTATTAAAATTATGAGTATGTGATAAATAATATCAAAATAGATATAATTTTTTATTAATTGTGATCTCATAAAAAATAATTGATAGGAACAAATTTAGATTAATGTGAGTTTTTTTTTTTTTATGAGTGAAAGAGCCAATGACCTAAAAGCTGTGAGGCCAAATAAAAGGCTTTGAACTTCGTTATTAAAGTTTTAAAGAAAAGAAAATAACAAGTTTTGATTTCCCCTTGTTTCTTTGTGTGTTATAATGTGTTAATAGTAGTAGTTAGAAAAGTAGAAGCAGGCAGTATAAAACATCAATGGATGGAGTGTTGCATCAGAAGCGACAGACTTTTATAATTTCTACTAATAAACAGACTCACTAATTTTTGCACGTATGATACCTTGCGTTAGATTAATTGTACTTTGGCAGATTCAGTCAAAAACTGGGCCAAACTCAAGCCCAAACCCAAACCCAAACCCAGAATGTTCCTAGTGGCATGTTTTACTATTTTGCAAAATACACTTCATCTGCTTCTGAAAACAACAGAAAAAGAACTGAAGCCATGCATGAGACGTGGCTGAGTACCAGGTGCCTGTCAGAAATCTACCTGCTGTTCGCAGTATCAACGCGCCTCCGTCCTTTGACGCTTCCTTATTCTTACCAAAGTACCCTGACCAAGTCATTAATTCACTTAAATTTTTCATTAATTTAACCGTTACTCATTAATTGATTTAATCCAAATTCTTTCGTTTTGGTTTAATTTTTAATTTTTCAATTCAATTAATAGTTTATTTTGAAAAATTATTCACATTATATCTATTTTTATGATTACTATAAGCTTATTTTTGAGAAAATAATTTAAAATTCACTTTGATATTGCAAATAAATTAGATTAGGAGAGAAATGGTTTATAAAATTCTTCGTAGTTTATATTTTATAATCTAAAGTTTATATTATAAATTATGTGATTAATTAATTATATAATTAATACTTGAGACTTAAGATTTAAAAGTTTAATACAAAAGTGAAAGGTAAGATCTGTAAATTTTTTAAAATTTTTTATTTATTATATCTATTTTCAATAAGAGATGAGGGTAGCATATTTATTGGGACAATAGCTCTCAAAATTTTTAAAATTATTTATTTATTATATATTTTTAATAGCTTTCGCAATATAATTTTTTTTATTTAATATTTAATATAAATAATAAACTAATAAAATGATCCCAATAGAAGTATTATCACCACTTCAAGTTGCTAGGTTCTTTCTTCCTTTAATTCTTTATTGCTCTTATATCTATGATAGTTTGTACAAACTATTTAAGAAGAATTTGTTAATCTTGAGAGATAATCACTTTAATTTTTTTGCACCAAGTTTCGTATTTCGAAAGAGCTGAAATTATAGTATATCAAGACCTCAAACTTGTTACAATAGTTTATCAGCTTCAATTTTCGACAACAACTATTAATATCGGGTATTTACACATCATAGTTAAGGCACAAAAAAATAAATTGTCAAATCTACTTTTACCCAACTACCAATACATGAGAACCTCTCAATACAAGAATTCTAACATAGGAGGCAAATTTTATACACTTGATTTTGACTACTAATATATTATGGCTTTTTATATTATAAAATTTGATTCACAGAATCATATAACTACACAAAACAATGAATGAGATGAACAATTATATAAAGAGCAATGATCAATAAAACCATTGTACAAAAGCAATGAATGAATGGAACATCATGACAACAGTAAAAATTACTCAAGACAAGTGAAGGTTTTTTGGTTAATTTCACCTTTGAAATTTTTGAAGAATTTGGTTTAGTTTGATGGTTCAAATATATAAATAGTTAAAATATTCTCCTCTTAATCTTTCCTTAAAGCATGAGTGCTTCTTCCTTTCCTCTCTTATCAAAAAACAAATGATACAATTCTTACTTGGTGTATATATATATTGTAAACCGAGCAATCCATGTTTTCGTGTCTTCAATATGCTAGACATGATTAGACATGAAACGCATTAAGATTGAATACGAACATAAAATGAATAATATTCATGTCTTAAATTTGAAACACGTACACGTACATATTTAATAATTGTATAACACGACACAACATGATTAACATGTTTAACACGATTAAATAAAAATATTTAAAATTAAAAATAATTTTATTATTTAAATTAAAATCAATAATTATAAAAATAATTATAAGAAAACAAAATAATACTAACATCAAATATAATAAAATTAACATAAATAACATACATAAAGTTCATTATCATATAATATGATAAAATCCATCATTAGCATCTAATCTTAAAATATTAATAATATCTAAAATAATCCAAAATGATAACAAAGCAAAAGTTCAAAATTAAGGGTTCATGGCATAATTACATTATTATCTTTATAAAATTTAAAAAACTTATTAAAATATTTAAATAAGACTAAAATAGTTTTCGACTATTAAGTTTTAAAAAGTTGATAAACATATTACACACACATGTTTAAACATAATAAACGATTAATACAATTAATTAAACGTGTTATTCGTATTTGACATGTTAAGACACAAAATGAGTCAAACAAAACTAACCATGAAACACTTTAAAGTTAAACCTAAACCTATTTAATTCCATGTCTTCCCATATCATATCTAAAATTACAAAATTACCAAATCTATTTAATTCCATGCCACAATCAAATGCCTAAGCTGCTCTGAGAAATACTTTGACAAAGTCCTCCATCAAGGGGCTTTGGAACTGATGAAGAGGCTCTTGCCAGAGTTGTAGTTACAGAGGGCTTGAAACTGATATATGAAGAATATTAAGGAATACAATCCCAAGCACCTAGCCTCAATTGAGGCAATATTACAGGAAATGGAGTTTTCAACCAGTAAAATTTACTTTTCTTGATTAGGTACCAAAAGGAAAAACTAGTAAAATCTACAAGTTTGTCATCATCTTAAACTGTAGGCCTAATGCCAAAATAGGAATTTGCAAACCTAGCAAGTTTCCTGCAACTTGTTAATAGTTGCATTTCCTGGCACACTAGAATGAAGCTGTTGTCAATAATGCTGCTGAAGTTTCCCGGAAGAGGTAAACATGTGGAACCATTATGAACTTCAGACGTTTGGATCACTGACTGAGATCCATCACTGCATTACTGCAAATAGAAAATGAAGCATGAGCCACCAGTACCACAGCCACATGCAATCTGCTTTCTTTGTACTTTTCAGTTTCTTTGCATGCTTAGCATTTAGTTTCTTGAAAAGAGAGTAAAAGGCAAAAGAGAAGGAAAGGTTGAAAGAAGGACACTTAAAACAAAATGAAAAGAAACATAAACACGTTCATCAAGTGTATGGCATGTGGTCAAATTAACACAGGAAAACAGCTTCGTTGCTGCTGATGACTGATATTCTCCCTCCATGAGATAGAAAGTGATCCTCTAGAGTTCTCAACCTTCCATCATTATTAACATAACATGAGCAAATTTAAGAAAGCAAACTGCAAAAATATTCAGGAATTAGGAGCTGCCATCTCCTAAATTGAATCTTTGACAAAGAGTTATCAATGTCAAGGACTCTTTCCCAAATCCAAAGATCTAGCCAAAAAAAAAAAAAGGGGGCAGGGGTGGGGTGGTGTTGCAAAATATGATGCATCATCCATTCTCATGCATATGACATTAAAATGGCATCCACGTTTGTATTGTACAGCTGGAATCAAAATCCTAACATTCTATACACCGTGCAACTTCATAAAGTGAGACTTGCAAAGAAAATAAGGATGGTAATCTTCAATGCATAGAGATCAACAAGACAACAAAATAATACATGTCCAAAATTTAAGCAACTTGAAGCAAAATTGCTTTATCTTTTACATTCTTCTGAGCACATGAAATGCATTTCCATGCACTTTGAGAAGACAAAACCCTTCCTCTGGTTATAGGCATGAGCCTTTATGGTAAAATCCAGTTACCATACATAGATAACAATTTTTGTGACAGTAGAAAACAGGCTATGAGAGACACAAAACAACAACACTGCTTCCTTCAGAGACAGGGAGAATGTACATCACTTCTTCAGAAGCTTCTGAGAGAAAATTCTCTTGGAATATGGGCTGTTGCGCGAAATTGCTTTATGGGACTCAATTGCTTCAACAAGTGAATTGTGCAGATGTCCCTAACATAGAAACAAAAATCAGAACAGCAATAAAGAGACAAAAAGAAGCCAACAAAAAATAAATAA